ATACTGGGGAGAATACTTTGTAAAATATACTGGGGTGGGCAAAAGTGGGTTTATAGTTGTTCATATGGAAAAATATATAATCCAAAAATAAATAATACTACAAGAATAAAACTACTCTGTGTTTCATGTATTCACAACTGTAAACCTACTTTGCCCATCCCTGTATGATTGTCTAACCACTATGCTATACACCTGAAACTAATACAAAATAAAATATATAGACACAGGCAATACTGTGGTGAAGGCCTGGGGTGGGGAGTGGGTGCAGGGTGGAAGGGGTCAATGGGGAAAAAAAGGACATCTGTATATTTTCAACAATATGGATAAATAAATATGCATATGTATATACACACGCACACACACACACACACACATACATACATACATATAAATAAAATACCTGGTCTGATAGAACATTTTGGCTAATGTGGGAAGCAAAAGGAAAAGTCAAAACAACACTTCCATACACTCTGTCCCACCCCCCACTTCCACCAGTTTCTGATTAAACCTATTGCTATGTATAGCAGCTTTAGCTATATACCTGTGGGAGGAGGCTGATATGGAAAAGCAGACTGGAATGGATGTGTAGAGTCTCTCCATCAAGCCCTATGAAATGCTTTTGAGCAACTAAAATAGTAGGACACAGAAAACATCTGCTTCCAGGTTACCTCTCACCTTTGGAACACCCAGAGGTCTCAAAATACTCTGTGCCTCAGATTAAAACCATTAATCTGGTCTGATATCTGCAAATGTGAAGTGTAGTTGTATCCCTAAATATACCTTGCTTAGGAGTCAGAGCACTTATGCCAAATAGGCCTAAGTGGAGGTTGTCTGGAACCTTCCTACCAAAGAGGGCCATCAGAAAGTAACCTACAGTAATGTACAACATGGTGACTCTAGTTAACAATACTCTAGTGTGTGTTTCCAAGTTGCTAAGAGAGTACATTTTAAAATTTCTCACCACACACACACAAAAATTGTAACTAAGTGAGGTGGTGTGGACGAGTTAACTAACTTTATGGTGGTAATCATTTAATAATAAATAGACAAATAAAATTATTACATTGTACACCTTACACTTATACAATATTATATGTCAATTATATTTCAATAAAGCTGGAAATAATTTTTAAATGAAATCGACCTACAGCAATAATCTGCAAATTTCTTTTTCTGCTCCATACAATAATTAAATCAACATGATTCTAGCATTCTATAATTGAGAGATGTGTAAGAGAATAGATGGCCCAGAAATATGACCTATTACACATTTTTAAATAAATGTATTATGGAGGCATTACAAATCATGGTGAAAAGATAAATTATGAATGTGTGGGAAAAATTGGTTAACTACTTTGAAATTTTCTTTGTAGTTATATTTTTTAATTGTTCTCAACCACCAAGCATCAAAATTTCCTTTTTTAGTTTAATATAAAAACATTCAAAATTTATGAAGTGTTAAATTTTTTATAAGTCAAACCATTAAAAATATAGAAATACAGGCATAGCAATCACATTTTAAATATTTCAGGGCCTCCTAAGTTTAAAAGCAGAAGGATTCACAAAGAAAAGGATACTAAGACTTGAAAGATATTTTAAATAATTAATGAATGAAAATTTTCTAAATCTGACAAAGAATATAAACTCAGATATCAAGAAGCTCAGCAAAACCCATGCAGGATAAGTAAAAATGAAACCTCATCAAGGTATGTTATGGTTAAAATGCTATTTTCCAATGTTACTTAGGTTAGTTTTTTCTTCCCCACTTCCTTCAGGTGATTATGTCATCATTTGTAATATAGTTGCATTCATTTGTCATGGTGTGTATTCTATTTTGGCAACATACACACATATACACTGTCTGTTTTTATCTTGTTGGAGATTTGAAACATTATCATGGTTGTAAGAGTCAGAATTACAAAAAGGTATACTCAGAGAAGTGTCATTCTCCCCTCACTCCTCTACCCAATCCTCATTCTCCCATCCTTTCTTCCCTGCTCCCACTCATCCCCCCAATACCCTGTCAGTAAACAATGTCATCAGTTTCTGGTTTATCCTGTAGGTTTATCCTGTATTTATTTTTGCACAAACGAGTGTGTATATATGTATATATGTGTGTTGTGTATATATATTTATATATATTTATATATAGATATAGATATAGATATAGATATAGATAGATAGATAGATAGATAGATAGATAGATAGATAGATAGATAGATAGATAGATAGATTTCTTAAACAGGATAAACAACCAATCATAAAGGAAAAAAACTGTACTACACTGAAATAAAAATGTATGTTCATCAAAAACACCTTTTAAAGACTGGGGGGTGGATAAAAGGCAAAGACTAAGAAAATATATTTGTAATACATTTATCTAACAAAGGTTCATATTCTTATAATTAGAATACTTATAAAACTCATACACATTGCTAAGGAAAAGACAGGCAAAAATTCGGAACAGGCACTTAACTAAGTAGTATGTGCACATGACTGATAAACATACAAAAAGGTGAGCAATTTCACTGCTCACCAGGTAAATGCAAACTAAAGCAGAAACGTGATACCAGTACATACCCGCCAAGTGGTTAAAATAAAAAGAAAGACAACTTTAAGTGTTGGTGAGGATATGGAACAATTGGAACTTTCATACACTGGTGGCAGTATCAGTTGGTACCATTTTGTAAAACTGTTTGTCAGTATCTAATAAAGCTGAACATATGCATGTCCTATAACCCAAAACTTCTACTCCTGGGTTATGGTACATCTTTATAATAATGGCCCCATTGAAACATACTTCCTTGTATCCATATCCCTTTATAATACACAATATAATGCTGCTGCTGCTCCCTGCAAGAGATGGAGCTTTCCTAACCCCTTTGAATCTGCAGCTGGGCCTTGTGATGTGCTTTGACAGAATGTAGCAGAACTGATTTTTGTGAGCTCTAGAGCATAGACCTTAAGAGGCCTTGCAGATTCTGCCTTTGCTCTCTTGGGATCCAGCTGCCATGTAAAGAAGTCCAGGATATCCTGCTGGACAGAGAAACTGCATGAGGAGAAGTAAGGTGCCCAAGTTCACAGCTAACACCAAAAAGTCCCAGACATGTAAGTAAAACCATTTGGACCTCCATGCCCCAGCCAGCTAGGATGAGTGAGCCCAACTGATACTATCTGAAACAAAGACAAGTCATCCCCACTGGCCCTGTTCAAATGCCTGACACCCACAGACTCATAATAAAATGGCTATTATTTTTAAGCCACTAAATTTTGAGGTGGTTTGTTATGTAGCAATAGATAACTGAAAATGAGTACACAGCAAAAGAAAAGAATACATATGTTCACCAAAATGGTCATGTACAAGACTATGCATAGCAGTGCCATTTAAATTACCAAAAGTGAAAACAACTCAAAAGTCCATTAACAGTAGAAGGAATAAATTTTGCTATATCCATAATATAGAATATTATTCAGCAATAAGAGTGACCAAATTACAACAACATGGATGACTCTCACAAATACTATGTTGTGTAAAAAAAGCCAGACTCAAAGCTCTATGCTTCCATTTATATAGTGAAGTTCAAAAACAAGCAAAATTAATCTGGGATATAGAAGTCAGAAAAGTAATGATAGGGGTAGGGGTGGATGGGTAGCAATTGGAGAGGGACAGGGGCGTTTCTGTGGCTCTAATAATGTTTTATTTCTTGTTCTGGGTGCAGGATACAAGGGTATGTTTACTTTGAGAAAAACTATTGAGTCATATACTTATAATTTGTGTACTTTTCTGTAATGTAAAGTTTGCATAAGAAGATTAAGCCACTGTCCCTTCTTTGATAAAATTTTGAATATATTTTTTAATCACCTGCAGAATTTTTTAAATGTATATTTTTTTAAAAAACATCAGAGACTGAGTAATTATCTCTGGGCTGGAACCCAGCCATCTGTGGCTATGAATCTCCATAAGTGATTCTGATGCACAGGCCAATTTGAAATATTAGGTCATCAGCAGAAAGAGTGCTGCTTCATTTCATCAATATTATATTCCCTCTCAGAAATATTTTTGCCAAAGAATATGAAACAACTCTCTTCAAATTGCAATTATCTAAAAGAAAGAAAATGGCAAAATACCTACTTCCACCCACTCCCACTCCTCAGGTTTGGCTATTCCACCATTCAAAAAGCTTCCACAGATCATTAAATGCTTTAATTAGTTTCACGCATATGTACTTAGCTCAAAGCATGCATTAAACCATCATTCTGCTGCCACTTCAAAGGGTGTTCACTAGATTATTTAAAATATGCTCTTAGATGCCATAAACATTTTTAATAGAGGAAAAAAAAAACAACACAAAAAATGGTTGCCCCAAATTAAGGAAAAAAATTTTAAAGTCTAACATCTACCTTGAAGATAGCAGGCAAATCTTAATTTGCAGGAGAAATGAATGCCTTGTGAAAAATTATTATTTTAAAATCATTTTTGAACCACACCTATGTTGCCTGTCTCTAGATATCTATGCAGAAAACAGAAACCTGATGGAGCCAACTGTGTTTAATCCACCATTTCCCCAAGATTTATTTCATAAAATACTTAAGTTTCATGGACAAAAAATGAAACCCTCCTTACTAAGCTACTATTGTACATCAATAGATTGTGGCTCAGAGAGGGTATTCAACAAATTAACATTGAATGAGCCCATCAATAGATTGTGGTTCAGAGAAAATATTCAACAAATTAACACTGAATGAAATCATCAATAGATTGTGGTTCGGAGAAGGTATTCAACAAATTAACATTCAGTTTTTTGAAAGTGAAAGAATTAAGTGGTCAATTTAGTTGACACCCATCAGAGAAGACAAAAGCCAGCTAAACTGATTCCACCAGTTGTTTGGTGTCACATAGACAAGACAGGTGGGCATCTTTTAAATTGTTTAGTGTTCTCCCTTGATGAGAACAATTCAATATTTAATGACTACTTTTCAAAAGACTAATTTTTACTTACTTGGATCTTTCTCTTGTATATGTGCGTAGTTTTCCAACATGAAGGAAAAGAAATTGGATAACTGGACAAAATAAAAACACATTAATCAATTAATGAACCCCAAGCAGCTACTGTGGTAAATGCTATTGGTTTTTGTGCAAGTCCCCTTTACTCTTCTAGGGCACTGATCTCCCAGCTGCAGTAGGTCCCACCTCTACCTGCCCCCCTCCTCCCAAGGATTGCCCCCACAGATGAGCATGAGCAGTACCTTCCCGAGTTGCACAGGATATCATATATCTGTCCTCCTTGGGGGCTGCCCATAGAAAAGGACTGACTGAAGCAAGGGTATTATAGCTCAGCCCCACACGTTCCTTGCCACTGGGTGGGATAAACTGTGATGCATTTCACACTTCAGAGCTCCCAATGGGATCAGGCTGAGGTCAAGCTTCTCCAGAAACCGTATTTTTGCCTAATTTCTTCCCCTGTCCAATCCTGCTTTCCTCACTCCTTGTGGGTTTTTCCTGAGAACACTCTCAGGAAATCACTTGTACCAGAATCCCTGTCTCAGATTTTGCTTCTAGGAAACCAACCTAAGACAGCTACTAGATTTTGTTCATTAGGATCTCTTCTTTTCCTTTGGGTAGTGAGATGAAGAGTTAAGGGATACTCTTAAATGTCAAATATATTTGGGAAATGAAATAAGGAAGGAGAAAGAGAGGGAAATATGGAAATCCACCAGCATTCCAACCATCATCTAGATGCTGCCTCTATACCTACCAATTATCTGCAAAGATCTGCATTTATACAGCACAAATAACTTCTCCAAGCCCTGCCTCCCATAAAAAGTGAACACTAAGGAACCTTATCAACGTGGGAGTGTGTCTGGGAGTTCAGGGAAGGAAGGCTTTCCACACAAATATCAAAATGTATAAGTTTAATACTGTTGATGGGTTTGTCAATTAAGAGTTAATAGAAACCACAGTGAAATACCACTGCACCCACACTAGGATGGCTATAATAAAAAAGACAGATAATAACAAATGTTGTCAAAGATGTGGCAAAATTGGACTCCTCATACACTGCTGGAGGGAATGTAAAATGGTGCTTCTGCTTTGGAAAACAATTTAGCAATTACTCAAAAAATTAAACACAGAGTTACCAGATGACCCAACAATTACACTTCTAGGTGTAAACCCAAGAGAACTGAAAACATATGTTTCCATAAAAACCTGCACACAAATATTCATAGCAGCATTATTTATAATAGCCAAAAAGTGGAATCAATTCAAATGATCCATACACTGAGAAATGAATAAACAAAATGTGCAATATCCATACAATGGGATATTATTCAGCCATAGAAAGGAATGAAGTACTGATACATGCCACAGCATGCATGAACACTGAAGACATTATGCTAAATGAAAGAAGTCAGACACAAAAGGATCACATTTTCTGTGATTCCATTTATATAAAATGTTGAGAAAAGGCAAATCCATAAAGACAAAACAGATTAGTGGTTGCTAGGGGATGGGAAGAGGGAGGAATGGGGAATGACTGCTCATGAGTATAACGTGTTTTGTGGGGGGTGGTGAAAATGTTCTAAAATTTATTGTGGTGATGGTTACAATTTTGGGAATATACTAAAGGCCATTAAATTTTACACTTTAACTGAACTGTACCTCAATAAATCTGTTATAAAAAAGAGTCCATATTAAAGACTGTACTAGTACTAGAATGTGTGCATCTAAAGCATACCAATTTGAGAGCTCACTCTACCTCTATACTCATCACTATATCCTACAGTGCTTAAAAGGCCAGCCCACACTGTGAGTTCCCAATTGGGGCAAAGGGAGAATCTCATTGAACCATAATATATCATTTTTATAGCTGCCAAGAATAAATCCAGCAATTTCTTTGATACTTTTTGAAATTTTCTTAATTATTTTTTAAAGATTATGTGATAAAGTTACATATAAATATGATTGTTGGAAACTACAAACAATACCAAATGAAAATGAGAATTCCTCTCCGACCCACCAATACCACTCCTGTCCCCAGAAATAACCACTGGAAACACTTCACTGCATAGCTTTTTCCAGACTTTTGCTGTACGTTTAGTTTTCTTTCATATATATGGGATAACACTACATATTGTTCTACAACTTGATTTTCTTTTCATTAACAATTATATTGGAGATCTTTCTAAGACATTTTTAATATTAAAAAGTACTTTTTTCTATCAATAAGCACTAAAGCTTGATTTATATATCATTTTTTGCAAGCTTGAAAAAAGCCTTCCTCACTCATCTATATTTTCATCTAGAACTTTCATAGGTTTGTTTCCAGGAAATTCTTTCAGTTTTTTACTCCTTACAGTGTTTTTTTCTTCATAAAGTAAGAGCTTTGCTTCTTACTGGGACATGTCCCCAAAAATAGAATAAGACCATTTTTATTAGCTAACTGTACATCTGGCAGCCCTCTTAAAAATGTGAACTTCAGAACTGAAAATACCATTCCTCATCCCAGATCATACTCTAGCTAGTTCCACACAATGTTATTATATCTTCCATGAAAGCCTTTCACCAAGGTTCCTCAGCTTAAAATTGCCCCAATGTGTCATTCTTTCAACAGCAAGGGGTAAAGAGAGGCATTTTACCAAAAGAAGAGACAAGCTTACAAAACAGACCTGTAATTGACCTTGTTCATCGGCATATTCAATGGACTGGAAGATGGTAAGAGCATAACGTTGTCTGGTCTTCAACCGAGCTCTGTAACCTCGGTACCAATTTTGGATGATCAGTGCGGCTTTTATTGCTGCAGACACACAGGATATAAAAGTCAGAGAAAAGCAGTTCTTATGCAGCTATGGGGGGAAGGGGGGGAAGAAGGTGCTTCAGAAAAAAAAATATCAGTCCACCTGGATTCCTTGGTTCTACAAACATAAAATCTATAAACAATGAGATTTACCTTCATGTTTTTGTAAAATGTCCTCAAGTCTCAAATATTCATAGAAGAATGATGGCATAGACATTAAGAGTAGAATTTTTGGAGCAAGACTACCTGAATTTGAATCCCAGCTCTGCTAATTACTTCTATGTGACTTTGGGTAAGTTATTAAAACTTTCAAAGCCTCAGCTCCCTTATCTGTAAAATGGGGATAATAGCACTCACCTATTGCATTACTTAAGCCTATAAAGTCTACATATGTCTTATGAAGTAGCAATTCCATTCTTCACTATATACCCCAAACCAATTCTCACACAGTCCATAAAAGAGACATATGGAGATACAACACTGCTTTGTGGCAGTGGGAAGTTTGACACCAACACAGCCTGGCTGTCTATTGCTAGGAAGGAGAAAGTGTAACTGCGGTGGGTGCATACTATAGAGTATTATGCCACAAGTGGAAGCAATAGATTAAATAAAACCATAGCAACATGAATAGATCTTTAAAAAATTGTGCCTCAGAACAGTTATTAAAAAGTTAGAGACAGAATGAAATATAACATGATACTTTATATAAATTTAAAGTACACATACACAAAATCACAATATACATTTCATAAGAATATATACAAAGGAAAAGATACACACTAGCCCTGGCTGGTTTGGCTCAGTGGTTAGAGTGTCGGCTCACACACCAAAGGGTCGCAGGTTCAATTACTGGTCAAGGGCATGTACCTCGGTTGTGGTTTTGATCCCCGGCCCTGGTCAGGGCTCGTGCAGGAGGCAACCAATCGATGTGTTTCTCTCACATTTATGTTTCTCGATTTTTCTCCCTCTCTCTCCCCCTCCTCCCTTCCACTCTAAAAAATTCAATGGAAAAAAATATCCTCTGGTGAGGATTAAAAAAAAAAAAAAAAAAAAAAAAAAACAACAAAAAAAAA